TGCATTGAGCCCATGGTCAAGGAACAGGATTGATAGGCTGTTTTTCTTCAGGGTTCAAACAGCTTAGGGCCTGTGACGTCAGGCAGCCTTCCATTCCCCCTGGCATCACCCAGATCTGCCCAAGACAAATCATGGTTTGCTCCGTTTCACGCGTGTTGTGATACATAAAGCCCAGGTGCCTTGGGGGGGGGGGGGGGGACTAACAAGATCAGGCGCCACTTGAAGCCATGTGGTTGTGTTACAGTGCTGCGGACAGCAGCCGTGGAGCCGCTTTAGCTCCGTTGCGAGACGGTCTTCTGGAGTCTGGACAAGGGTCCTGTTGCGGGCGGGGCGAGGGGGGGAAATCTCTGCGGTCTGACAGGCGGGGATCGGGCGAGGGAAGGAGCTGGGGGGGGTCAGGCCTTGCCAGCCCCGGCCGCTCCCTCCGCCCGCTCCCCCCGGGAGGAGAAGCCTCTGCGCTGGTCACCTGCTCCCAGGGGGCTCCCGGACTGGGGGGGGTGAACGGTGCCCCCCCGCACTGTTGTTTGAAACGCGCTTTGCAACCCAGGTCCGGCCAGGCCGGAGGGGGGATCCGCAGAAACCCCCCCCCCTTCTCCAGGTGGTCCGCTCCAATCTCCCCGAAAGGCGCCGCGGGGAGGGGGAGCTGCGAGGCCGAGATGGGCGGGGCGTTGCCTGGGAGACCGGGGCGGGGCGGGCCGGAAAGGATTTGGCCGCCGTCGCCGCAACTGGCCGGGCGGAGCCAAGCGCGGAGGGGGCGGGGCTGCGGCGGAGGCTCCGCCCCGTCTCCGGCCCCTCCTCGAGGGGCGGGGCTCCGCACCTGCGGCTCGCCCGGTCCGGGCAGTTGAGGCGGAAGCTCCGGGCTGGGCGGCGCCTCCTCCGTCGGTCGGAGGGAGGCCGCGGCTCCCGGAAGGTCTCTGGAGGCCCCTCGGTCGGCTGTCCGTCCCGGCCGGGCGCGGACGCTGCGAGGCCCTCGCCGGGAAGGAGGCGGGGAGGCCGCGCGCATCTTCCCTGGGCTCTCCGGGGCTGCTCCGCCCGGGTGGAGGGGGGGGATCCCTCGGCAGGTGGACCCGGGATAGGCGGGGAGGTGGCCCGGCGACGGGCCCGAACGGAGCGGCGGTCCCGCGAGCGAGCCCTGAGACCCCGGGTTAGTGGATCCCCAGCAGCCCTTCCCGGCCCTGGAGGCCCCTTCGGCCTGCCGGTGGCTTCTTCCCGGGGCTGCTTCCGTGAAACCCTCGCCGGCCACGAGCCACCCCTTCCCGGGAGGAGCGCGGCTGGGGCTGGGGGGGTCCGACTCCCCTACTCTCCTCCCCCAGCCCCCCCCCCCGGTTCCCCTCGGGGCACCGGCCGGGAACGGGCCCCCGCCCCTTGCCCCCCCCCCCCTTGGGCCCGCCCCGGCCCCCCGCCCGGGGGGGGGGGGGGGGCTTCTGGGGGCTGGGCCCTTCCTGCTGCTCCCAACTCCGGCCTGGACCCCCCCCCCGCCCTTGGCTTGAGTGACGCCCCCGTCACAGTCGGGAGAAAAATGCCCCAGTGGGCCCGGAAGTGATGCCAGTGGACTTGCCATGCAGGTCGCTTCACTGCCACAGTTGGGACTGGCAATTCCGTTGCTAAGCCATGTGGTCGCTAAGCAAGGCATCCCTTGGCCGGACTGTGTGGTTTTTCCAAAGGGATGTCTTTGCATGGCCAGAAGCCTGTGGGCAGATGGCGTCATGTGACCGGGGGATGCTGCGTTGGCCGTAAGTGCGGGGACGGGTTGTAAAGTTATTTTCAGTGATGTCGCACCTTCAGAGGGTCGCTTAAGCAGTCAGTCAGTGTAACGGTTGTTAAGTGAGAACTACACATTATTGGGCAGTTGCCATGCCCATAGCTGCCTTGTGTGGCAATGATGCCGGCTTCCTTCGGAAGGAGGTTTTGCCAGGCGGGTGTGGGTGGAGGCGTTGGGCGCTCGCCTGTGCCCACCCCAGAAGGCCCTCCCAGAGCTCACGGCTTCCCTTCCTCTCCCCTCCCTGCAGGTGCTGCAGCTCTGCCGGATGGTGCAAGCCATGGAGCGTTTTGCCAGCTCCGGGACCCAGACAGAGGCGGTGGTGGTGCTGTCGCTGGCCCAGGCCGCTGTGCTGGGTCTGGTATCCGAGAATGAGTTCCTGGGAGGCACCGTCAACCCCGACACCATCTTCTCCAGTTTGGCAGGGAAGCTGGACGAGGACGCAGCAGCCCCTGAGCTGAAACCCCCCGAAGGCAGCAGCCCGGCTGGCCCGTCCCAAGGGGAGCCCCTGGAGGAAGAGGAGGGGCCGGAGGCAGAAGCCTCCCTGGGGAAACAGGCCCGGCGGAGGAAGCGCCCCCCTGTGCGCCTGGTGCCGAAGGTGAAGCGTGAGAGGGGCGAGACGGAGGGGGAGGAGGGGGAGGAGGAGGAGGGCAGCCCCGAAGTGCCCGCCAGGCCCCCCGAAGAGCAGGCCCTGGAGAGCGGCAACCCAGAGGAGCCATGTCCCGAGCCAACCCGGCAGAGCGGCAGGCTGGCAAGCCTCGTCCCCTTCAGCCGGCGGCCTCCGGCCCTGCAGCCGCCACGGAGGCCCCCGCAGCCAGAGCAGCCCTTGGGAGCCTACGAGGAACGGTTCCCTGGCCCACCGCAAGCCGGCCTGGACAGCGGCTGCAGCTTTCCGCCAGGCCTGCCGTCCCTGAGTGGCATGGAGAGCCAGCTGCCGGCCTCCCCCGCCGGGCAGGGCAGGAGCGGGGCAGGCTTCACCTGGCAGGAGCCGCTGGACTTCGAGGCAGAGGCCCCCGGCGAGCACAGCAAGAAGGTGCACATGGACCGCCTGGACATCAACGTCCAGATCGACGACTCCTACCTGGTGGAGAAGCGCTGGCAGTGCCGCCTGTGTGAGAAGTCCTACACCTCCAAGTACAACCTGGTGACCCACATCCTGGGTCACAACGGAATCAAGCCTCACTCCTGCCCGCACTGCAGCAAGCTCTTCAAGCAGCCCAGCCACCTGCAGACCCACCTGCTCACCCACCAGGGCACGCGGCCCCACAAGTGCCAGGTGTGCCACAAGGCCTTCACCCAGACCAGCCACCTCAAGCGCCACATGCTGCTGCACTCGGACGTCAAGCCCTACAGCTGCCGCTTCTGTGGCCGGGGCTTCGCCTACCCCAGCGAGCTCAAGGCCCACGAGGGGAAGCACGAGAGCGGGCGCTGCCACGTGTGCGTGGAATGCGGCCTGGACTTCTCCACGCTCACCCAACTCAAGCGCCACCTGGCCACGCACCAGGGCCCCACGCTGTACCCGTGCCCCGAGTGCAACAAGTCCTTCCACTACCGCAGCCAGCTGCAGAACCACACGCTCAAGCACCAGAACGTGCGGCCCTTCGTCTGCACCGAGTGCGGCATGGAGTTCAGCCAGATCCACCACCTCAAGCAGCACTCCCTCACCCACAAGGTAGGCCGCCCTCCCCGGGACCAGGGGGGGACCCCGCACCTGCCTCCCTTCCCCCTCCCCCCCGCTGCCCCAGCTGGACCCTCCCGGGGCCTTGAGCCGGGCCGCTTGCGTCTCTTTCAGGGCGTGAAGGAGTTCAAGTGCGAGGTGTGTGGGCGCGAGTTCACGCTGCACGCCAACATGAAGCGGCACATGCTGATCCACACCAGCGTGCGCCCCTACCAGTGCCACATCTGCTTCAAGACCTTCGTGCAGAAGCAGACGCTCAAGACCCACATGATCGTGCACTCGCCCGTCAAGCCCTTCAAGTGCAAGGTAGGTAGCGCCGGGGACGGCGTGGGAGCCGGGTGGGGGGCGGCTGGGAATGGCCACGGGTCTCCCCCTCCCCTCTGGGCCTCCCCCCCCCCAGCCCACCCGGCCATTGACTCCTGCCTACAGGTGTGTGGGAAGTCCTTCAACCGCATGTACAACCTCCTGGGCCACATGCACCTGCACGCCGGCAGCAAGCCCTTCAAGTGCCCTTACTGCTCCAGCAAGTTCAACCTGAAGGGGAACCTCAGCCGGCACATGAAAGTCAAGCACGGCGTGATGGACCTCAACCTGGACAGCCAAGGTTTGTGGGGCGGTGGGGCGGGAGAGGGGGGACGGGAGAAGTGGGGGAGCCAGGCGCCCACCTCCCAAAGAAGGAGCCCCCAAGGCCACCTGGCACGCTTGCCTTCCTCTTCCCAGACCCCATGCTGGAGCTGTCGGGCACCAACCCCTCGGAACTGGACGGGCAGCAGGAGATGGACGACTACGAGGAGAACGCGTACGACTACGGGGCAGTGGGCAACCCCAGCGGCGGCTCTGCCTTGGCCGAGCAGACCATGAAGGAGATCGCCTACTACAACATGCTATAGCTGGGAGGGGAAGGGCCTGGTCAAGGGGGGGGGGAGGGCGTGTCCCCCCCCCACACACACAAAGCACTGCCTGGGCTGCACGGAATGGGGGAGCGCAGGGAGGATCCGGCCTCTGTGGCCCTCCCAGCCACCTCTTGGCCAGGTGTGGCTCTGCTGGTTGGCGGTTCCTCGCTGGGGCAGCAGCCTGGCAGGACTCCACTTGCCTTACTCTACCTCCCACACCTGGCCAGGGCGGCCCTGCAGGACCCCGAGAGCCCTGGCCGAAGCAACAGGGGGGGGGGACCAGAGGGGGGTCCTTGGCAGGCTGAGCAGGTCTCCCTCCCTCCAACTGGACCGCAAGCGCTGCTGGCCTCCCACCCACGTTGTAATCTACCTCCGCCCTGAACTCGGAAAGAGCAGCCTGGGTCAGGAAGCCTGGCTCCCCCCAGTCCAGTGGACTCCAAAGTGCCCCCCCTTTACTTGGCAGAAGGGTCGAGGCCCCCCCCCCGCCCAGCCGGTGGCCGCCTTCTACTTCTGGGGCGCTGCCCCTTTTGTGCATAGAGCTACTGTGTTTATTTTCCAGTTCTGAAGAAGTTCAGCAATAAATGAATATTGTTTGGCAGACGGACTGGGTGGTGGTGGTGGTGGTGGTGCTGGAGCGCTGCGGAGGCGTCGCACGGACTGACGGTCGCACTAAGGGAGAAGCCGTGGTTTAATAGCCCTCTCTCGGGCAGCCAAGGCCAGGCCCAGGGCAGTTACAGCACCCAGCCCTCCTCCTTCTCCTCCCCTTGCAAGATCTGCAGTCACAGAACGGGGGGGCGGGGGGCAAGCTCTCCTCCCCAAGAGTGGCCACACAAGGGCCTCTCAAGCTTTAGCGATGGGCCCCGAAGGACTCCCGCTGGACGGGAGCCGCCCCGCCTGCACGCGCCAGTCCCCGGGAGCAGGGTCTTCGCCCGCAGCCCCTACTGCTTGCTCAGGGCTCGGTCCAGGTTGCTTTTGATGGCGTCCAGGAAGTCGGTGGTGTTGACAAAATGCTCGTTTAACTTCACACTGCAGAGAGAGAAGAGGGTCAGGGTCAGGGGGGGAGGGGGGGGCAGGGCTTCTGACCAAAGTGCCCCCCACCTGAGCCAGGCCTCACTTGCTTAATCCATGGATGCAGCCAGCCAAATCCTTGGTCATTGTCCCGCTCTCCACTGTCTCCACGCAGACCCTTTCCAGAGTCTCGGCAAACCTAGGGAGGGGGGGGAGGGAAGGCTGAGGGAGGGAGCGGGGCCCCCTGTGGTCTGGGGAGAGGCCTCCCACAGCACCCCCTGCCCCCCCTGCCGCTGCCCCCCCTACCTGACCAGCTGAGGGTTGCTGTCCAGCTTGCCTCGGTGCTGCAGGCCTCGGGTCCAGGCGAAGATGCTGGCGATGGGGTTGGTGCTGGTGGGACGGCCCTGAGGGAGAGGCGCAAGCAAAGCGCATGGGCTGTGGGGGGGGGCTGCTGCCCCCAGCGGGGCTCCCCAGGACCCCCCCACCCTCCAGGCAAGCTCACCTTTTGGTGCTCCCGGTAGTGGCGAGTGACCGTGCCGTGGGCAGCCTCTGCCTCAATGGTCTTCCCATCCGGACAGACAAGGACCGAGGTCATGAGGCCCAGGGAGCCGAACCCTTGGGGCAAAGACAGGGTCCCTCTGACCAGGAAGGAGGGGCCACGGCTCCCCTGGCTCCCCAGCGCCCTGCCCAGCTCCCCCAGGGCACCCAGCTGGTGCCAGCAGCCACGCTAAAGGCAGCACGAGCGGGGAGGGGAGGTGGCTCACATACTCGGGGGTAAGCCTACCTCCCACCCCACCCCACCTCCAAAGGGAGCCAGTCCCCCCCCTCTGCTCTCTTCCCGCAGGAGGCGGCTTGGCTCTGCACTCCTTGGGGGCCCGGAGCCCCAGCTGCTTCCCCTGCAAGGTGCCACCCTGGCCTGGCAGCGCCCCACTTGCCAGGTGCCAAGGGCTCAGGACGGGGTTCTTGGCGCCCTGGTCCTGCTCTCATCCCTCGGCAAGCGCTCACCCCCGCCCTCCCTGCGCAGGGACCCCGGCAGGGCCCAGCCATACCTTGGGCCAGGATGTCTGACTGGACGTCTCCGTCGTAGTTCTTACAAGCCCAGACAAAGCCGCCAGCAGATTTCAGCACCTGGGCCACCATGTCATCGATGAGCCTGTGCTCGTACCAGATCTTGAGCTTGTCGAACTCTGTCTTATAGTGCCTGACAGGGAGGACAAGCAAGGTCAGCCCTGGGTGGACGCCAGCGCAAAGGGGCACCGAAGGCTGGCAGGCAGGCTCTGGCCCCGGCCAAGGGGGCTGCCTCCCCCCACGGGCTGAGGGGCTCACTTCTCGAAGACTTCCTGGAAGATGTCCTTGAAGCGCCCATCGTAGGCCTTGAGGATGGTGTTCTTGGTACTCAGGTAGAGCGGCCATTTCTTCTGGATGGCGTACTGGAAGCAGCTGTGGGCAAAGCCCAAGATGGACTGCAAGAGGCAGGCCGAGGGCTCAGTGGGGCATGCCTGGCGCTGGCCTGCCTGGAGAGCCCTCCCCTCTCCTCCAGGCAGCGGAGGGAGGCTGGGCACGTTTGGCGGGCCAGAGCCCCGTGAGCCTGGGCCTCCCCAGGGGACGCTGTGTCCTCCGTGAGAGTCCCGCCCCGCCCCCCCGCGCTCTTTTCCTCACCTCGTCGGTGTTGTACATGCCCATGCCGACACCCCCGCCTGGGAAGTTAAAGACTTCCCACTCCTTGGCACCACTGCCATCTTTGGGCACGAAAACCATCTTAAAGGTCCCGGACTTATCCGCCACGAAGTCTGTGGCTTTGTACTGAAAAACAGAGCCCCGGGATGATTACAGCCCACCCCACGCTTCGAGACACAAAAGGCTACAAAGAAACCAAGATCACAATCTATCTAGGGTAAGCAGTGAAACCCTTTCCTGACGATTCTGCCTGTCCCATCGGCTCTTCTGCCCCCCAACTGGGAAGTGTCCTGCCCTGCGCGAGGCTTCTCTCTCGGGTCCCTTGTCCCACCTGCCTGCATTCAAGCGCTTATCTTGAAGGAGAAGCTGTCCGTCCCACAGAGGCTGTGTCCCCTATGGGGAGCAGTGAGTGGGAGGAGGATGAGATTTTCACCACACTTTAGGGGGGGCCTGGATTCAGGGAGCGGGGAAAATGTTTTTGGGTCGGATCAGCTGATTGTATCCCATTCCCTTCACTTCATGCCTTCCGGGTCCTGTAAAGGTTCAGCTCGTAAACCTTGAAGAACGTGCAGACGTGAGCAACTTTGCCCATTTGACTTCCCCGGGTGGCTCCTGGGGCCCACCCTCGTCCCCACAGGCCTTTCCCTCCGGGGTTTCCAACCACTTATGGGCCGGGCACCGGGACATCCGGCACCAAGAACGCGGCTTCATGTGGGCTGGCCACAGGGCGCCCCTTTCCCCCCCCCCCCCCCGGCAAGGCCACCTGGTCTCCGTGAGCATGTCTCCCGATGGTGATGGGCTTGGTCCAGCCTGGGACTAGGCGGGGGATGTTCCGGCAGACGATGGGCTCTCGGAAAACCGTGCCCCCCAGGATGTTCCGGATGGTGCCGTTGGGGCTCTTCCACATCTTCTTCAGCTTGAACTCTGCAGGGGCCACAAGGGAGAGGCATCTGGCATGGGGGCGGGGGGGCCTTGCCCGCCTCCTCTGGAGCCCCCCCCACCCCCCGGCCTCGCTGCTTGCACGTACCTTCCACGCGGGCCTCGTCGGGGGTGATGGTGGCGCACTTGACGGCTACGCTGTACTTCTGAGTGGCCAGGGCCGAATCAATGGTGACCTGGTCCTCCGTCTGGTCCCGATGGGGCAGCCCCAGGTCGAAGTACTTCAGCTGCAGGTCCACGTTGGGCAGAATCAGCTGCAGGCAGCAGAGAAGGAGCAGTCAGGGCCAGGCGCCCCCCCGCCCTCCCTCGCCAGGCTGGCTTCCTCCTTCTTGGCAGGGTTTATGGGCAGGGATCACTTTCAAGCCCTCAGGCCACCCTATTCTGCAGGGAGGGAGGGACGGAGCGGAACTTGGCCCTGCTACCCTCTGGGAGCCGCTTGCCTTGCAAAGTGGGCCTGGGATCTCCCGGGCAGGGAGCCTGCAGGGACCCACAAGACCCCTCAGGATTCCCCACCTCAAAGCTTCAAGGCCGGCGACCCCTTCTCCTTCACTTTCGACTCTGCCCAAGCGCTCACCCCGTCCACCTGGGGTCAGGGAGTCAGTGGCATTGGGGTTTGTCCCCGCGGCCAGGTACCTTCTCCTTGATGAAGGCCCAGATGATCCGGGTCATCTCGTCCCCGTCCATTTCCACCACCGGGTTGGCAACCTTGATTCTCTGGTCAGCATCTGCGGAGAAGTGGGGGGACATACAAGAGGGTGACTCTCCCTGGACAGCCCCAGCCTCCCTCCCTCCCGTCCAACCGAGCCCCATGGCTTCAAAGCGACGGGAGGGAAGGTTTAGGGCTCCTCTCTGGACCCGGCGGCTGCTTCTGACACCTGGGCCCCTGCCCAGCCCGGCTGCGGAGCCCGGTCAAGCGGAGGTGCCCGGCCAGGGCAGGCGGCTCTTGGGGGGCATCTAACGGTCCAGCCCCAGGAGCCTCTGGCGCTCTCGGTCTCCGGGGAGCCCCCCCCCACCCCCGCTGCCCGGAGGGGGCCCTCCCCGGCCTCCAGGGCTGCCGCCCCCCGCCTGCCACATCGCGCTGCCGCTGGAGGGCCGCCCCGCCTCGCCTCGCCTGGCCGCGGCCAAAGGGACAAGGTCACGCTCAGAGGACGCCGGCGGCGGCAGGCCCGGCCGCCCCTCTGCAGCCCGCCGAGCGCCAGCTGGCCGCGCCTCCTCCAACAGGTGCCCGGGCGGGCCGGCTGCCAGGGCCGCAGACGAGGAGGGGGCGCCGGCCGAGGCCTCCCCGGCCCGACCGCTCCGGCCAGAGGGGAAGGCCGGGCCCGCAGCCCTTCGCCGGCTCGGACCGCAGCAGAGCAGCGCCGGGGTCGTCCTCGGTCCTCGTCCTCCCGAAAGCCGGCCAGGCCCCCGGCGGGCGGCGGGACCGCCTCTCCGGGGCCGGCAAGCGGAAGGCGCCCCGACCCGACCGACCCGCGCGCCCCACTCACAGTGCCGCTGCGGGGGCCGCTGCCAAGCGCTGAGCGCGGGGAGCGCCGCGGCCGGGCTGCGAGGCCAGGCGGCGGCGGCGGCCGAGCGGAGGAGGTAGCGTGCCATCGCGGCGGGCGGCGTCGGAGGAAAGGGAAGGCGAGGCGAGCGCAGCAGCCCTGGAGCCGCCCCCGCCGCCCCCCCGCCGCCGCCGCCGCCGCGCTGGGCCCTCCTCGGGGCGGGGCGTCCCTGCTCGGCGGCCACGTGCGCCTTTGTTCCCCGCCCGCGCCGCCTCCCGCCCGCCCGCCGCTGCCAGCCTTTGGCGGGCCACCTGCTGCCTCCGTCCGGGCTCGGCCCCGCGTGGGAGCAGCTCCGGCCACGGAGAGGCAGCGGAGCAGGGGCGGCTGTCCGCCGGGGGGAGGGAGGCTTCCCTGCTGCCCCTGGAAGCGGCGCCTCCGGCTGGCTGGGGACAGGCGGGCCCTGCGCCTTGACGCCCCTCGTGGAAGTGCAGGCCGGGGGTCAGTCCTGTGTGACTGGCGGGGGGGGGGATTTTGCTTCTCCTGGAGCCGAGGGGAAGCCCCTCGGGCGCCTCAGTCTTGCCCCCAGGGGAAGCGGGGAGGGCCGGGGTGCGCAGTGATGCTGACCCCCCCCCCCATCATCTTGCCCAGCGCTGACTGCTCGGCTTGCTCCTCCCCATGTGCGGAGACCCTCCGGCCCCTTCCAGCCCCAGCTGGCCCTTCTTCTCCGGCCTCCTCCCGGGTTGAGTTCTGCCAGAGGGAGAAGAACATCCCAGGTACTCCAGATGCCATTTCGGGAAGCCTGGGGGCTTTAGTTCAAGGCCTTCCTGATAAGGGCTGGGCAAGGGGCAGCCAGCAAGCCGGCTTGCAGCCAACTCTGACCCGCTCCTCCTCGTGACCACAGCTGCAGAGTCCAGCACAGCACAGCACAGGGGGCCTTCCAGACCAGAACTCATGGCAGGTCCTTCATATTTGCTTGTAGATTATCTGTGGACTTAAAATATTTGTCACCACTCATTATCTTAGCAATGGATCGTGCGTATCTTCATCAAGACACCTTCCCTATTCACTACAACTTCACATTTCAGTTCTTCACGGCAGTTCAACTCTCTTTTCTATTATTTGTCAGGCACAAACAACCAGATCCAGATGTGAAGAGTTTAATTAGCTGTCTTGTTGTTCAAACGTATATACAGGAATCCTTTCAGAGTGGCAGTCCAAGGAGAGTCAGTTTCCCACTTATGCCCACGTAGGGATTCCAGACTAATTCCCTGCTTGACTCTCCCCCTGGCTCAGCCAGCCTCTCCTACATCTGGCTCCCAATTAATATCTTCTCCCTCTGGTGACCAATCCACCCAAATATTTTTCTGCCATTTCCCACTCATTGACTTCTCCCAACGACAGAATTCCAGAGAGGCAGGCGGTGGGGGGGGGGGGGCACTCTGGGAGCGTTCAAGTTTCTGCTGCTATACCTTTGCCAGGAAAGTATTCCCTTGGGGTCTCTTCCTTGGCTTGGCCTACCCAAAGGGACCCGGTGGGCGCTTCGGATACCTGCTAGAGCCTCCCCTGAATCCTCAGAGTGAGCCAAGGAGCCTGAGCAGAGGAGACCCCAGGCAGACAATAAGGGGCCGGATTCTGGCAGAGCCCTGACCCAAGAGCACATCAGTCCCTGAAGATCCGGGCAAGGGCAACCAGAGCGTCTCCTGGAGGAGCGGCAGCAGGCGCCTGGCCGGGTCCCATCCGTCTCCAAAGCAGCCCACAGGCCGATGTCCCTCCTTGGGGGCCCAACTCCAGACCTGGGTTCCTAGGGTTTGCTTCCACTAATCTGCATGTCAACCCTTAATTTAGAAGATGCAGGAAGATCACCAGAGGAGAATATCAAGCAAGACAAGGATTTCAATACATCTTTCCAGAAAGTTTATGAAGAAATTGCTCCTAAATATTTACATGTCAGGAGGATGCAACCGCAATCAGCCAGGTGAGCCTGAACAGCAGCAGAGAAGGTTCATTTTCTGGAATTTGACTCATGAGAAAGTTTGGGAAAAGGGATAAATCCTGTGGCCCCTTCCTTCCTCCCCCACCCATTGTAGCCCTCACCTAATCCCCTTGATGCTGTAATAGCAAGGCGAAAACAATGTTTGTGTTTACAACCGTTGGAGGGGAAGACAGCAAGCAAACCCACAATGGGGTGAATGCAGAGAGAGGAAGAATGCCTTGGCGCCAGGTATTGGCTTATCTGCTCCCCTGGCTTGGAACACCAAAGGAAGCCTTTGGGGCAATCGGTCAGGATCATGCCAATTTCAGACAGCAGGGCTAATTAACTAATCTGGCACAGAAAAGCAGTTTGGGAAGAGATAGCTTGTCCAAACAACCTCTCAAGCCCTGCCTTGGGAGGCTCACGGGGCCAAGGGCAGCCACTCTGGCCCCCTGTCCTTTCTTCCTGCTAGCTGCTGCTTACAGCCCACCTGGCAAGCCTGCACTTGGGAGCACAAGCTCTCTGGCTACCTACTCGCCCAATCGCTGGCTACGCTCAGAAACGTTAATGCGGGCCCTTATTGGGCTGGCTTTTGAGGGGCTTGCACGACAGGCCCAGGAGAACAGACGGCCCCCTTACAGGCCGCAGGGTGCCGTCTTGAGCCCTTTGGATCGTGTCACTGTTTCTATGCCAACCAGGATCTCTTTTGGGATCATCGAGTCGGGTCAAGATCCGGTGGGGATGATGATGCTGTTGCAGTGGCCCGTCCCTTTTCATCCTGCCTTATTGTGCCCAAGGGATTGTGCAGTAAATATCTGTTCATGGCAAAGCTGTTGGACATCTACATGAGACAAAGTCACGGGGCTGGGGGCTGGATTATCCTTGCCCGGTTTTATGACCTTTCTTGTCACAGTGGTTAAGTGGATCCCTGCAGTCCATAAGCTGCTAAATGGACCTGGCTTCCCCATTGACTCTGCTTGTCAGAAGGTCACTGCCACCGTCACCTGAATGAGCGGCCAAGCACCTGAGTTTTGATCACGTGACCCTGAGGAGGCTGCAATGAATTCAAGATGCTGACCGCCTACACTGGAAGCTTTAAAAACAGGACTTGATTGAGCAACCTCTGTGTAAGAAGCGCTCCGGGGTCTGGTCCAGAGGAGAGGCTCTTTTGCCTGTCAAACATCTGGGAGGCCCTCCCCAATTCTTGGACGTGGTCCTCTGATTCCCATAGTCCCACTTCACTGATGCTTAGAGTAGAATAGAATAGAATGGAATAGAACAGAATATAGAATGGAATGAAATGAAATGGAACGGAATAGAATAGAATTCTTTATTGGCCGAGAGTGATTAGACACACAAGGAATTTGTCTTGGTGCAAATGCTCTCAGTGTACATAAAGGAAAAGATACATTCGTCAAGAGTCAAGAATCATCAGATTCAACACTTAATGATAAGTCATAGAAAACACATAGGCAATCAAATCCTACTAGGAAACACTCAATATAAATCGTAAGGATACAAGCGACAAGGTTACAGTCATACAGTCACAAGTGGGAGTGGACAGGCGGTAAGGAGCAATGAGAAGATTAACAGTAATAGTGCAGACTTTGTAAATAGTTGGATAGTGTGGAGGGAATTATTTGTTTAGCAGTGTGATGGTGTTTGGGAAAATGTGAATTAAAAATTCAGGTTCCTTTAAGAGCTTCCTATGCTATCTTAACATTCTAATATCTTAAATTTTTATTATGGTTTGGGAGAAATTCACTGTATAATTATCCACATCTATTGATTCAGAAGAAGGTGACAAAGTGAATAGCCTTGAATTATGAAATGCTTTGTATTATTATGGGATTGAAGAGCCTCTTCACCCCTTGAGTGCAGAGGGGCAGATCCTGCTCTAAGGGGACCTGTCAATCAGGTCTGCCCAACCAATGGCCAGCCAGAGGGGCTGCCTGCCACCTGCACCCAGGGGAGTGGGCTGGGGGGGGGGCTTCTCGGGGCGGTTGCCAGCCAGCTCCAGCAACCAGGGCTCCCCCACAGATGGCCCCTCCTGGACCTAGGCTGTGGTCCCATGCTACTCCTTACAGGGCCTGGGGTGTGTGTGCAGAGAGAGCAGAGCAGGACCCCCACTGGGTCACGGCTGAGGAGAGCAGCCAGGAGGGGGCCCAGAAGGTGCTCGGCTGGACTCTTCCTTCCAGGTGGCCTGAGGGAGGGGCTCCAGAGGAGAAAAGGCAGTCCACCCAAGTGGAGAGGGTGGGTGAGGGTCCTTCCTTTGTTGCCAAAGGCACCCCTCGGCCCCCCAATTCCACTGCTTGGTGGCTGACCCCTCGGGCTCCAGGGCCATTCTCCCAGGCTCCAGTTGCCATAGCTATTGCTGGGAACGCGTTGCTATGGAAACGGTGGGAGGGTGCCTGCAGGGAGTCCGTCCGTCTCTGGAGCACAGGGGAGAGACTTACGCCATCCTTCCCGCTGGCCACGGCTGGCGGCTGGCAGGGTCCTACAAGGGGCTGAGTCGGCCCCATTCCTCAAAGCAGCTCCATCTCCACGGCCTCTAGTTCTAGCCCATCCCCGCCAGGTAGGAGCCAGTCAGGTGGGCAGGGAGGCAGCTGCCCTCTGTGGGAGCCCCCCTTTCATAGACAGCCTGTGCACTATGTGGGTCAGGGGGGCTGAGAAGATCATCCGCAGGGCCCTCACCTCCTGACATGGCCTGTTTCGACTCCTTCCCCTCCAGGTGCTGCCATGGAGCCTTGCACCAAAAACAGACCCAGGAAGAGGGTCTTTTCCCTCCTGCCAGCAGAAGGGAACACTTAATTCCCACAGTTCTGTCTAACGTGGGTAGCCTAACCCTTCTGTACTCTCTCCCTTGGACTGGACGTAGAGGCGGGGTTTTAGGCAACCCTTAATCCAGGGCTCTTCCTACTGGACAGCTTTACGGCTTGTGGACTTCAACTCCCAGAATTCCTCCTCCAGTCCTGTTAGCTCAGGAATTCTGGGAGTTGAAGTCCACAAGCCTCAAAACTGTCCAGTTGGAAGAGCGGGGATCTCAGGCCCTGCCTTGCCTTCCTTGCTTTCACTTTCTCTCGATAAAAGTTCCTTTTTAAAGGGTTTCAGGAGTTCCGCTTCCTTGCGGAGAGGCCGGGCCTTACAG